CTCCACACACTATAATATCACTTAAATTATATTCTTTAGGCATATTAAATCATCCAGGAGATAAGTTTGCTATAATTACATTTATTATATACATATTGAATTCATGTATTATCTGGATAACAAAATATAGGCTTGTGACTGCATCCACGAAATTGATAATTTATCGATTTATACAAGTGTTCACAAAATCCATTTTTTAAGAGTCGTGCATTATATATTGTGATTTTATTTTTTCATTTTCTTTTCTTATAAGTAACACATTTAGGTTAGAACAGTAAGTCCAAAAATTTCAATTTTCTCTAGTGAATTCAATTTTATTAGGATTGCATCATTTTATCAGGTCAATCATTTATTCGATCAATATGCTTTGACAAATTTATTACTACAGCCTCACTATTCAGAATATGAAGTGATACATTAATTTCAAAAGTGTTATTGATTACTTTTTTTTTTATTCTATTTATTTCTCATAACGAAATAACTTTTTGAGATATCTCCACTTTCAATATTTCAAGTATTTGAACCTCTTCTAGGGATTTATAATTAGCTATGTTTATATGTTTTCCAAGAGTATAAGCCTTATAAATGGTACCATCTTCCTTATTTGCTCCATTTTCTTTTAGAAAATTTTGTTTTAAAATCAAATGTTATCAAGCTTTAGGCATACCGTAGAATTATAAAATATAATGTTAACACATTGTCCTCTTAGAACATCAATTCGATTTAGAGTATTTAAAATTGGTGTGTGAGATATTAATCTTTTTGATCAACGAATATATTTAGATGAATTATCTTTTGAACTTCCAGTTAGAATTTTGTTGTGAGAATCTAGATAATGTGATGAAGCCGCATTGTAGAAGATTACTATAGTAATGGAGAACCGTTAGTGATTTTTGACGGTGACTCCAAACCGATGAGAAATGGATTCTTGAAAGAACTTACACTTTTTATATGTATCCCAATCGATATTTATTTTCAACATATGGAACAATTTTGAAGGGTTGAGGTAGGTAAAAACACACCTTGTAAGATAGCTGTTATTGGAAGGATCAAAATTAGGATGTTTGATGGAATTGTTAGGATACTTGATGAGGTGAGACATGTTTCAAATTTGAAAAGAAATCTTATCTCCTTGAATACTCTTAATTTAAAAGGGTACCAGTACAGTGATGAAGGTGCAATTCTGAAAATTAGTAAAGACTTATGTGTTTTGTTAAAGGGACAGAGAAGATCCTAGTTGTATGTCTTGTAGGATTCTACAAATCATTGGATATCAATTAGCAGAAGTCAGGCACTCATGTGGAGTTTATGTTTGGTACAATACTGTTGGAGTCTGATTTAAGGTCTACATCAAATAATACATCTCAGTCGAGTTCAGAAATTATGGGTAGTGCCGCTTTGCCACAATCATTAGCGGTGCCTCGGTATTTAATTGCTAGAGACAGATCCAGAAGAGATATTTGGCCTCCACAAAGGTACGATGAAGTTTATGTACTTTCTTATGCATTAAATGTAGTCGAATGTATTGAATCTAGTAAAAAACCTTCTATAGAAGTAGATAGTTGTGTTGATTGTGTTACATGGTATGTTTTTGTCCTATTTGGTAATTATTGTTGAGTTGCTTGAGATTTTGTTGCTCGTAGTGATAGGTCTAGCAATTTTGTACTTGAGGTAATATCGTTAAACAATGTTTGGATTCAGTTGATATTCAGTTACTGAATTTGCCCTGTAACGCCCCAAAATTTCATACATCTTGAGGTGTTATCAAACATAATTTCATGTACTTAAAATACGGAACGTTAAAATTCTATTTTCTAGATAAA